AGCTCCCATAAAATTGCTTACCATTAGACCAGTTGATTCTGCGCTACTATTTGAGTTTTTTGCCACACAATAATGGTAAGAATCAAGATAGCCTCACTGCTCTTCAAAGGTAAGCTCCACTTGACTTGAAACAAACTAAAGATTTTTTTCCACCAGCAAACAGTAGGAACACTTGAAAAACAGATGATTTTGATTATAGGCCTTGTTGAGGGAGAATATACCAATTAGAAAAAAAAATGTCAGCTGGATTTTGTCACAGGCTTGTTTGGTTTTCTCAGTTTTTTAAAAATATAGAATCTTCTCAAGAGAAAACATAAATGTCCTTGACATGTCCCAATATATCTTGATCTGAATAAATGGACATTCCACATCATGTGTCTAACACGTATTCAAAGCATGTCCATGCTAAACAGTTGTCTAACACTAATACTCTACTCAAAATAGAATATATGTTGCTTAGATATTAGGAATGAAGAAGCTTCGATCTTTCTATCTTGGATAACCAATAGCACTAGTGTGAAATAAAATGTTAAACACTAAACATTAATGAAAAAATTATTCTAGTAAAAGTACCAGGTGAATTTTAAGGTGATAAGCCACTAGCCCGTCAAGAGGCAATAGCCAACAGGTGTGCAAAAATCAGGAGCTCATAAGTAGTTGGTTGCACAATAACCTTAACATTTACAAGCCACCAAATCATAGTTCTTAACAACAGCGTTAATAAACTCTTTTGCAAGACAAGTTGCCAAATGATCCCATATAGTTCCATTGTCAGACCCATATGTAATCTTCCAAAATAGGGTTCATTATATATGGTAGTCCTGGCCCACTCTTGCTTTGCTGTTCCTAAAGGTTCTTGATCCCTTGAAGATAAGACCTGATTAATTCCCCTCTCCCCTTGTTCACACACCAATGAAGAAATATAATATTTCCACAAGTTCTTCAATTTGTGGCTTGTGGCAGCCAAGCATTCACAACGACGTTGCTTTTTGATAACTTCAATTTGATTTTAGTGCTGATCGCTTGCCAATAGTTCCACTTCTCAAATTTCATTTGCAAAGCTTCTTTCATCTATCAATTCTCTTCCTAAAAGCTTAAGGCACCCAATTGATAACTTGTAGCCTGCCTTATTGTCTCCCATAAATCACACTGTAACACAACTTTTCAAGCTCAAATACTATTCCACCCGCACTCTAAGAGGTTCTTTGCATGGAGTACTAAATTTTTTAGAGTTGAACTTGAGACCCATGTCAAATGTGATTAGAAGCACAATTGAACTAGGGTTTGATTATAATGAATCTGCATATTCTCTACCCTAGTTACAGATCTAAATACTCTAGGCCCTAATCTACCATGTTCGTGAATCTCAGCCCACCTTTTGACTCAATTCGCAAGCACCTGCTTCAGTTCTACTAGATCTTGAAATTTCTAATTGCATTTAATTCAATTTGAGTGAGACCACCAACTTCAGTTTGCAGAATCCTTTGCCACCAAAATTCAAAGCACTATTAGATCTTGAAGTTCAAGGATACAAACCTAAAGAAATTAAAAAATCATCACTATGGTCTTTAGGTCAGCTGCACCCATTTCCCCAATGCCTTTTAGCCCCATTGCTCGTATCTGACCACTTGCCACCCCAATTTGCAAATACTTGATACAGTATGTATGGGTTCAATCATTCTTCCCCGACCCAATCAAACTCATGGTTTTCAAGTTTCGATATTTCATTTATTGGCTCCCACCCACATTAATTTGATACCACCCACGCCCATCAACTAAAGTGAAAGGTTCACTTACTCTTCCTCCATCGTTTGCAATTCACCCAATGTTAGTCACATTCATTTTGGTACCTTTCTGTTGTCCAGCATATTTTTAGAGCTTTTCTGAACCGTTTGTGGCGTTATTTCACTGATGCCAAAATACTCAATATTTCCATCAACAATCTATGTATCCCCAACAATGTTTCAAAATCCAAATCCATGTCCATGACGACTTGCTCCATTGCCAATTTAGTAGGAACCATATTGTTATTAGCAAAGATATAAGGGAAAGATTACCAAATGGAGGCTCAATGGCACATATATACGATACCAACCTATGCAGCATTCCGCACTATGCTCATGTTGTCTCTAGTATCCAAACGTGATTTACAGAATGATTGCATTTCAATCACACAAAAATAAAAGTGAAAAAAAAAACAGTAAACTGGATTACCGAAGTACTGCACCTTGAAAGGGATGTAAGCTAGCCCCCTGATGCGTTCATTTTGTTCCTGGAAGCTGATAGCCTTCCCGAAGCTATCTACAGTAATCTTGAAAGAGCTTCCGGGTTGTAAATATGGCGTCTTCCGTTCATCCGGATAGTTTTTAATAGACTCCTCCAGCTCCTTGTCGTCGCTTCCTTCACCCCAGAGTTCATACATCCCCTTCACCAGTATACCTAAATAAAAAGGAAACGAAAATTAAATGAAAGAAACTGGGACCCAACTCATCGATTTTGTAAAGAAATGAAAGATCAACAAAAGAGGAAGGAAATGGCTGACTTCTAGTGGCGATTCTCCGAGCAAGGTCGTCGGAGGGGAGGTTGACGAAATGGAAAGGAGAATCGGGGTGATGATGCAGAGGGAGCCTCCATTCCAACTTCGCTTTGGCGTCGCCATTTTCACCGAAGGGTCCACCAAACAACTCGGCCAGAGATTCAACCTCGGCCTTCCTGTAATCCAATAACCTGTGATAGAAGACACAGAGGAACCACATTTACTCCAATCTTATGCTTTTCCAGTTACTTCTTTTTGGAGCTGGAACCATTCAACCACACGAATTGATGAATACGGAGATATGCAAAGCTCGACTCAAACGGTTGGGTACTGCGCCCAAACCCTTTAAACCCTCTTCTTTTTTTCCTTTCTTTCCTTTGGTATTGGAACTTTCTTCTCACTCTACTGCAATGGGGTTTATTATGAAACATAGAAAAATAATTTAGTTTGAGATCAATTTGTTCTCAGGACTTTTAAAAGTTTCAATTTAACACATATGATTTAAGTTTCAATTTAACACATATGGCTTTGAGGAAATTGACAAAATAAGCTTCCTGGAATGGCCTATTAAGTTTTTTAATCGCMCTCCTCAAAACACAAGTTTTCTAGTCACTTGCTGACATCACTTACTTTGCCAAATGACTTTCAATAGCCCTCCTTACTTGGGTACCAAAAGTTTTTAGTTTTCCCTCCCTTACTTGGGTAATACAAATAGTCCGAACTTTCAATTTTCCCACGTCCGTTCTATCTTTATCGCACTCACACTGTAGCATTATTCGCTCGCTCAAATTTGACTTGTCTTCACCTGCGATTGAAATTACATTTCTCAAAATCTCGTTCTCGTTCTCCTTCGTATTTCGATTGCGACTCTTTAAGGTAACTCTGACCATGTCGTCTTCAAGCGGCGAGACGAAGTGATTTTGGTAGCAGATTACAACGAAGGAGATTTCATCGTTAACTTTGGGTTAGTGCATTTATCTCTCAATTGCTTAAGATTTTCGTTTTAATTTCCACTATTTTAGCTATTGTTCGTAAGTTCTGTACAACCCCGTTGTTGGTCGTCTGTCTCTTTTGCGATTTTTGTGGATTTAATACACTGCACATCTAAGGCTTTCGGAGAAGAGGAAAATAATACATAATCAGCGCCATGGAAATGAATCGATGAAGGAGAAAATTGTGTTATTGAAAACCAATAATATTGAGGGGGGCTGATGTTGAAATAGCCAGAGTGAAAAACGTGATCGAGAAATACAGTGAACATGAAAAATCGAGAGCTAGAAATATCGAGAGCTAGAACATCGAGAGCTAGAAAGATCAAGAGCGATAAATATCGAGAACGAGAGAATCTTCAGTGATTTACAATTACCGTGAGTGTGCAATAGGAAGAGCAAAATCGAGAATCATCGTGATCGATACAGTGAACTTGAAAAATCTAGAGCTAGAAATATCGAGAGCTAGAACATCGAGAGCTAGAAAGATCGAGAGCGAGAGATATTGAGAACGAGAGAAGCTCCATTGATTTGCAATTATAGTGAGTGTGAAATAGGTAAAGCAAAATCGAGAATCATCGAGATCGAGCATCATCAAGATCGAGAAACATTGAGATCGAGAAACATCGAGATCGAGAAACATTACAGTGTTTTACATTTTGTATTTCAACTAGTTGCGTGTTTCCCTTTCCCTATCTTCTTAATCCGTGATTATGTAACATGTTCAATTATTAAATTTTTGAACTACTTGCATGTTTCCGTTTCTCTATCTGCTTAATTTGTCATCATATATCTTTTTCAATTTGTTGCAGGTGCACAATGGACCATTTGTTGAGGATTAAGGAGAATGACCGCTTTCCGGCTCAAGCTATCAGCATGTCTCACTTGAGCAATGTCAACAGGCTTATCAAGGATAAGCTCACAGCGGACCAACTTGATATGTTTCGTAGAAGAACAATATTTAGTCGATTTGTCGACTTGGAGATGATGTTCTGCAGTGGTGTAGTTCATCACTTTCTGTCAAGGGAGGTTGTTGGGAGCAGTGACGACAGCATGAGATTCTTAATTGGTGGCAACGTGTTGACATTCTCGAAGGATCATTCATGCTTATAACGAGATTGTGGTGGCTGCCCGGTAAGGTGGTCCAGAAAAAGATTGGAAAGAATAGGTTGCGGACGAAGTACTTCAACGATGAAGCCTCCATGCTGCTCAAAGAGTTTGTGGAGGTTTACAAGTAGACTGATTTCGAGGACGATGAGGACGCCGTTAAAGTTACATTAATTTTGTACACGAAGCTTGTGATGATGGGAAAGAGCAAGGGCAAGTCGAAGGTTGACATCGACTTGTACAACCAAGTCAATGACTTGGACTACTTCAACCATTTGAACTGGGGTTCTGATGTTTGGAGTAGGACAGTTAACAGCCTGAAGCGTGCGATGAATGGAAAAGTTGCGCTATAAAAGAATAAAGTAAGAACAAACAAAAAATATCTAGTAAAGTATAGCCTATCGGGATTTTTGCTTGTGTTTCAAGTAATCAATACGTATGCATACGAGTTTGTTGTTTGTGAAAACTTTTTTAGGTGTGAGACTAAACTGAAATTTTATATTCAGGTGTGGATATATGAGGTTGTCTCATCTCTCATCACTCCCGGTGTCAATCGTTTGAGCGAGATCGCGATTCCCCGTATAATTCGGTATTCGTGCAGTAGAGTCGTCGGTACAAAAGATCTGAGGGAGGAGGTCCTTGGTTCAGCGGTGGTAAGTAATCTAGAATATATTTATTGTTGTGTAGTGGTAATGGTATTTACACTTCCTTATGTTCTTGTGATGTACGTTCAGTTGGTCATATCTTATCCACTCGTGGAGACGGAGCTGGATAGGGACTACTAAAGATGTCTATTGGACGAAAGAGAGGTGGTTGATTTAAACGCGCCTGGGTGTTCCACTTCCGACAGTGATGATGGACAAAATCCTTCCCCCATCACCGACAATTTTGGCACTGAAGACGATCTCCCGCTCGACGATGCGCAATTGTTGGAAACAAATGTACAGGCAGTGCCGGATGAGTCTTCGGATATGCCACGTACAGAGGCCGCGTTCGAAGGTGGGCAACAGACACCAGTCGAAGTACTTCGACCAAGTACTTCTATTCGGTTGAATTGGGGCAAAGCACGCGGCAATCACCGCGAGCGACATCACGCGATGCTTGCCCTACACAACGGGACGGCACTCGTGGATCGAATGATAGATTTGGGGCTATGGAGAGAAGGCTGGATCTTTTAGCTTCGAACATGGCGGAGGTGAAGACGGATTTGGCGGAGGTCAAGTCGGACTTGAGTGAAATGAAAGTCATGCTTCAACGATTGTGCCAGGTAGCCTTTTCCTATGACTTGGTATAGTTCGTATACTATATGTATTCATTCAATCGAAGTGCTAATACGTTAATTCGTTTGCAGATCGATAGGCGCGAGGTGAATATTGGTGTCTCTCCGTCAGATACAGTCCACCTGTCACATCCATTGTATCTGATGTTATCCCCGAGCATGATGAGGATGTTGATGACCATCAACCTGGAGGTTCCGATACTAGAAAGGATGATGATGTGGTTGATGCAGAAGCGTCGTTGCATGAAAAGGCAACGAATGTCGTAGAGATAACCGTACACTCATCCGATCCTGAAGATACTGAACTAGCCAAGCCCCCGCGTATTGTCGATTTGGTGGAGTTGGACGTTGCAGTGGGGTCACCCAAACTGGATGCCCATTCTATCCATTCCAATATTAAGACGACTCTAGGAGAGGCAGACGTCACATCTATAATTCTTTCGACGGAGTTGGTGGAACTCCAAATGGCACCTCCAATAGTACAGGATCCACAAGCAGAGACGACGTCCGATCCAACCTTCGAGCC